CATTCGATTCCCCAGCGCCGCTGCCTTTGTCCGGAGGGAACTGAAGCGCCCGGGGACGTCCAGGGGGTTTATTTTTTGTCTCTTTAGTAGGATTTATATGAGCACGAGAAAAGCTCCGTGACTGATAATATCTCAGACGTAGGCAGGTGCCCAAACGCTCCGGACCCACCGTTTCCACTCAGGGAGGCAGAGCTGCTCCGCGGGCGCCTGAGCAGACGGGCTGGAGTCACCCAGCAAAGCCCCTGCTCGTAGGGACTCGTGGTTTCCTGCTGTGGGTAGAGAAGGAGCGTTGGCTGTTGGGAAGGGCCTGGCTGAGACATCGGGGTGGGTCACAGCTGGATCTGCTGCCGGTCACCTGCCACACGGTGTGAGATGTTAAACTCGGTTTGGAGGATCCTGCCAGTCTCTTGTTTGGCCTGAAGCTTTTCACAGCATCTCGTCAGAACAAGGCATTGCTTTTTTGTTAAGGTTCATTGAATTTTCAAGATCACCAGGTTTAGAGCATGGGTGTCTCTCTGCCAGGGTTGATCAGACTTCGCCGTCAGTTTGGTTCGTGCTGTTTGGCCTTTCGCCCTCCCAGTCGGTTGTCCTGGTTAGGTGAGGGGAGGCCTTGCTGGTAAATCTCACAGTTTGTATTTAAGTGTGAGGAGAAAACCCTTGATAAAACGCTCCTGCTAAAGGCTGGGGGAGGCAGCCAGGAGCTGAAGGTTGTGACTTGGAAATATCAGTCGTTTATTTTCAGTTTAAACGCCCCGTGTTGGGCTCGTGCCAGCCAAGCACATCTGGCAGTGAAGGCACCGAACCAGACAAGGGCTGCTGGTGATTCAGGTCTAGTTAACTACTAGTTAATGAACTAGTTTTGTGGGGGGGGCTGAGTTCACTCAGTTTCACTTGCTGTTTGCAGACCGAGCTGTGAAGGTACCACAGAGAGTGATTCAAACAGCAGAGAAACAACAGACTCTGACATTTGTGCTGCTCCAGCTGCAGAGGAATTTGCTGATCCCTGTGATCGGAGCTGCCTGTGAGCACACACACAAAACACCTCCCTGAAACAGGAGAGTTGAGAGGAGAAAGCTGCTCGCTGCTCGAGCCTGGCTACCGTAATAACTTACCCCAGTGGCAAACTGGTGGGAAGTGAAACAGGGAGAGGGGGGGGTTTCATGTTCTGTGCTCGACACAGGAGTTCCCGTGTGCCAGTGACCAGCATGGAGAAGAATTTCCGTGGTGTAGGAACGTTCTGGAAGTCAAGCGCGGTGTGCATGGCACAGACACGGTTATTTCACAGCCACTCACCTCGTGAGTCCCGAGCAGGAGAGGGAGCAGGAACCTCCCTGGGTGTGAGGCCAGGGCTCGGTGTTTGCTGCCCCCTTATCTCCCTGGGCAGGCAGGGGCTGTGGCGGGCGGTTCGCTGGCGCTGGGGTCTTATCAGGGTTTCCTGCGGTGGCTGGAGGAGCGATCCCAGGTGTCTTATCAGAGCGAGCCCCCGCGCTGGCTGACACCCCCCCTCTTTGTCGAAGGGCCTGTGTCAGTGTGAGTGCAGCACTAGGAAAGGGATGGAGCATTCTTTTTAGGAGCTCTTATATTTCCTCCGTGCTGAGCGTGGCTTTGCCGGCGCGGGGTTCTGAGCGGTTGTGTTTTGCCTGCGGTGGCTGTTCCACCACGGCTGGGGTTGGGGTTAAGTACAGGGTCTGTCTCTTCCTCCTGTGACTCGGCAGCGCTATGTGGCGTTACTGCTTCTCCAGTACTGACAGGTGAAGTAATTTCCTTTCAGAATCTCAAGTGTTCTGGGCTGATGCTCACTGGGACAGTGTGGTTGTGGGGTATAAATTCTCTACCAACAACAGGAATTGTGAGGAAAAGTGACTGTCACGACCTCCTGAGGAATCCTGCTCTGCACACACAGCCTGTGTGTTCCAGCACACCCAGGCTTCAGTGGTAAAGCCCACAGGGGTGGCAGCAGCTTTCTGTACTGAGCCTTGAGCGTGGGAGTGTAAAATCCTGGCATTGTGTGTTGCAGAATGACCCTCTTGTGTCTCCTTGACCTCTGTGTGCTGTGAACCCCCAGTTCCCCCAGTAACAGCTTTCCATTCAGCCCTCCCTAAGCCACAGCGACGCTCGGACTCGCCCGAGCTGCAGCTCCCTCCTTCTTCCTTCCATTTGGACAGTTTGGCCCCTCGAGGGGGGCAGGGGAAGGCCCCCCAAACACACAGCTGTTTAAAAACTCCTGTTGCAGTGCTGCTCTTCTGGGCAGGCCAGTGGTTTTGCTTTCACTTCTTCCCTCAGAACTCCATCGGATGTTACCTAACGCTGGGGATTAATTAGTGTTGTTCAAATCTTTTCCAAAGCCAAGTTCCAAACAAGCTCAGGCTTAACAATTTGCCTCACTACTCTGGTGAAGGCAAATATCCCTGTTTTGGGGTGTTTTGGGCTCTGCAGTCATGGCCTGTGTTTGGGATGATGGGCTGCAGGACTCTTCTCTTCCACCCCATCACACTGAAGGTGTTCTTTGCAGCTTTTATGTACCATTTCTTTTCTCATTCAGTATTTCTTCTCCCGTAGGACTATATTTGCCCACGGTGTGAATCTGGTTTTATTGAAGAACTTCCTGAAGAGCCAAGGTAACACACTGCCCCAAAGGCTGTTGTGGGAATGAACTCAGTCTGCTTTGCTCTTTTTTTCTAGTTAAAAGGCAGTGTTGGGTACTGAATACACCATTTTTACTACTTCTGCACAATATTTGGCTCACCTTTCCTCGCTGTGGGTAGAGAGTCTTTAATTTGCATAGTTTGCATCTACAGGTAAATCAGCCCTGGGAATGCTGAGTGTCATACCTTGCTGGTAAAGGGCGGGGGTGGAATTGGTTGATGTAAAACAAACAAACTAAAAAAAAAAAAAGAAGTGGTAGAGAGGCTTTCCCCGTGGCATGTGGTGGCTCTGAACTGGTTTGAGTCATCAGAGCAGAGATAACCCTGCAAGAGAGGAATCTGTGGCACGGAGAGCGCGGCAGGCTCCCCAGGATCATTTAATAACTTGGTTTAGAGTACAAACGGGGAAACGCTTTGAGTGAGACTTTGGACTCTGCACTGGAGCAGCTGAGCTCTGCATTCACGTGCTTTCCTGCTTACTCAGTCGTGGGGCTGCTCTCTGGCAGTGTCAGAACGAGCAAGAGGAGGAGAAATGTCTTAAAAATGTTTCAGAGGCATTTGCTGGAGCTCGGCTGGGACAGGCAGCGTGCAGGCGTTGGGGGACAGGACGGGACAGGCTGGGCTGTGCCCGGGGGGTGCCCGGCGGTCGCTGCCTGCTGAGATGAGTGGCCTCCTCAGGCTGAGGTTTCTGTCCTGACAAGGTGACGTTTGCTCTGACTACACCAACCTTAGAGGCTGGAAATCAATCCTGGCTAATCTGAACTGCATTGGCGATTTGCTGTGACCTTGGGAGCGTCACATAATCTCTGAACTGTAGTTTTTTTGGTGCCATGAATGTCAAAACCTGGATGCTGAGCAGTAAATGTTCTGCTTTCTTCAGAAAGCAGAAGCCTGACAGCGTCAAGAGTTTTCCTCATAGTTTTCTCATTTGGTCACATGCTTCTGGATTGGAGAAGTTCCTTTGATTCAAGATTAGACTTAAGCATGTTTGGGTCATAGTGATCAGGGTTTGTACCTTAAGTCTCCTCTTCCTGGTGCTCCAGGGGATTAGCTGATTTGTCTGAGGTGGATTGTGCAGGGAATCCGTGCTTGACATTGTGCTTCAGTCACCTCCCTGTAGCTTCGTGAAATCAGAATCTGAAAGGGTGGGGAGAGATGGGTGAAGGGGTGGGAAAAGGAAGGTTGCAGGGGGGGAAAAAGGAAAATTGATACAGACAGAAAATCAGCAGCTGAGGGCAGAGTGGTTTGTGTGTGGGGCTGGCCCTGCCCTGGGTGGGGGGGAAGGGGAGCAGACCCCCGAGGTCCCTTTGAGCTCTGGCTCTGCACAAAAACCAATCGATCTCTTCCTGTGTGCTGTTACTGTGCTGCTGTGGTGTCTGCTTCTCCTGTCACACTCGTGTCCCTCACACCCTCTGAGGCTCACCAGCGCCCTTCATTCCTCACAGGAACGCTGACAATGAGACCAGCTCCTCCACGTCAAACAGCGATCAGAGCAGGCATCCTTTTGAGGTGAGCTAGTCCTGTCCTCTCTAACTCTTCCAGCACTTTCTGTTTTGCCATTGAATTGAAGTATGTTTCCATTAGAACCTTGTTTAAATGTTCCCTGGTTTATGACAGAATTTGGGAAAGGAGCTTCTAGTATCATCCTCATGCTGCTCCTGAAATCTCTGCATGTTGTATTTTCACTGCCTGTTTTCAATAGGACCATCACTTACAGCTTATTGGTGCTGTGAGGGGGCTAAGCTGGGATTTACTGAGATGTCGGGGTGTGTTGCTATGCAGGAGCCTCAGCTTTGAAGGCAGCAGTTACATGCAGCAGTGAAAGAGAAACCAGGGGGGCTGTAGTTATTTCTTGCCTCCCTGTGTAGTTTCAGTCTGTGTCTGTTCCTCACTGAGCTGCTTCTGGGAGTGCGCTGACCCACCTGCATCAGCCTCTTCTGAGCTGCTGGGGATCTGAGAGGCTTTGTTGGGAGTCTGGTGAAATACCAGGTGTGAATCATAGAATCACAGGATGGTTTGGGTTGGAAGGGACCTTGAAGCTCATCCAGTCCCAACCCCCCTGCCAGCAGCAGGGACACCTTCCACTAGACCAGGTTGCTCAAAGCAAAGAGCTGTTTCTGTCCTTGTTACAATCTGTCCTCTGAATTCTCTCCCTCACAGAATGTGGATCAGCACTTATTCACCTTGCCACAGGGCTATGGCCAGTTTGCCTTTGGGATCTTTGATGACAGCTTTGAGTTTCCCTTTGGGTCCAACGTGCAGTCGGAAGACAACAGGGACTCTGAGAGCCGGAGGGAGCGAGAGCATCAGTCTCGGCATCGATACGGTGCCCGGCAGCCCCGAGCCCGTCTCGCCACGCGCCGTGCTGCTGGCAGGCACGAGGGAGTTCCCACGCTGGAAGGGTGAGGGCAGCTGCCAGGTTCTTGTGGAGGAAGCCCCGTTATTTCTCCCTGCTGAGTGTTGGCTGAAAATCAGCCTCTACCTTTGTCTTGTCAGTTTGAGGAGCCCAGTGTGACTCTTCCGTAGGTGCCCAGCCCCTGTGAGCCCGCACTGCTGCATGGTCAGGCTTCAGCTGGGCCTGCAGCTGTTGGCAAGTGCTTGCCTTGAGTATGTAGCCACCATTTCACCCGAGCACAGTGGCCTGGACTAGAGTGTGGCTGAGAGTTTTGGCTGTTAAACCTGCAATGAGAAAGGATTCCCTGGTCATTACCAGGTATTACCAAAATATTGTACTCAGTGTGAGGGGAAACGAGAGAAAACACTGGACAAGGTGACTGATGTTGCTTTAACTGCACCCTGGAGAGCCACTTGCCATCCTTGTCAGATATTATTCCCTTGCAAATAAAATACTGAAACTTCTCCTCATCAGTGAATGATCAGTTCATAAGATGCAGCTGCAATTGCTACAGGATATTTTTCCTTTCCCCCCGATGATGTGACAGTATTTAGTGTATTTAGCCCTTCCTTCCACGTTCAGGTGTCTGGGCTGGCAGTGAGCACACCCTCATTCTTACACAATCCTGGTGTATGTTTCAGAATTATCCAGCAGCTGGTCAATGGAATTATTGCACCTACAACAATACCAAACCTGGGACTAGGTCCTTGGTGAGTTGAAGGAAGTTCTGCTCTTTCTGATGGTGTTCTTGTTCATACTCCCAGCCAAATTTAATTGTTGTCCTTATTCTTAAAGGGGAGTCTTGCATTCAAATCCAATGGACTACGCCTGGGGTGCCAATGGCTTGGATGCAATTATTACACAGGTAAAATGTGCATTATAGTGGCATCTCCTGTCTTGTGCAGTGGGGGTTGTGATGTTGTCATGCAGGAGGGCAAACCACTGGAGATGGAGAAATGGGAGATGAGGTCTGCAGGGCAGGTGGTGCGGGGTTCAGTAAATGAACAGATCCTGTGTGCTGCTGAGCTCACATCTTTCTGCCTTCTGTGGCCTGTTGTTTTTTTCAGTTACTAAATCAGTTTGAAAACACTGGACCGCCGCCAGCGGACAAAGAAAAGATCCAGGCCCTCCCCACCATACAGATCACACAGGAACACGTAGGTATGTGAACCTCCTCCAGGGAATCCTTCACAGAGAGCTCTGTGAAAGTTCTGTTTAACATTTTCTTGGGATTTTAGTTTTGTCTTGCTAGTACCTTCAAGGCCTAAAACATTTCAAAGAGGGAGAAAGCTGAAGTATTGCTCTGTTATACTCACACACAAACACAGAGCAGTGCAGACTGGAGTGTAGGCTGGATGGATTTGCCCCAGGGAGGCAGACTGTTCTGAAAAGTTCAGTGTGGGTAGAGATGAAAAAGCAGAAGGGAGGGGAACAATGAAGTGAACCCAGGGCAGTGAGAGGTGGAGGGATGGTGGTAGGAACTGCAAAGGAAGAAGATTTCCGCTCTGCAGGGATGGTGGGGGCAGGAGCCAGCGTGGGGAAGGGGAGGAGGCGCTGGGACCCCCAGTCAGGAGCTCTGTGTGTTGTCCTCTCCGTTGGTGCTGAGCTGTGTCTTGCTTTCCCTGTGTGATGTTCCAGATTCTGGGTTAGAGTGTCCTGTGTGTAAAGAAGACTATACAGTCGGTGAAAACGTCCGGCAGTTGCCCTGCAATCACCTCTTCCACAACAGCTGTATAGTCCCTTGGCTGGAGCAGGTGAGTGCTGCCTGAGTGGGTGACTTGGGTTTTGTGGCACTCAGGTGGTTTTTTTTTCCAGTGGTACCATTCTCTGTAAATATTTTCATACCTCTGTGATGAGGCCTAAGCCTGAGCAGCCTTTGATCAGAGGCAGGAATGTCACCCCAGCCTTTTCCTTGAGTGCCTCTCCTGTATCATTTTTCTAATCCTGTTTCCCATGTATTTTGTTGTGTTTTTTCTCTGTTCTCCAAAGCATGACACGTGTCCTGTCTGCCGGAAAAGCTTAAGTGGACAAAACACTGCCACAAACCCCCCGGGACTCACGGGGATGAACTTCTCATCATCCTCCTCCTCCTCTTCCTCCAGCTCACCAAGTAACGAAAACGCAACGAACAACTCATGAAATCTTAACCCACCCTCTGTCCCTGGGGCCCTGTCCATTGTCCTCCCTCCCTCCCCGGCCAACGTACGCAGCGAAAGGGGCTTCCAGAGCAGAACGAGGGGAGGGTAGCAAAGGGGGAGCAGCACCCCCACAATTCCCTTTTGAGTTCTGAAGACACGGAGACTCTGGGTCCTTCAGAGATGTGAAGCCTCAAGTTCTGTTTTTGGGGGGGGGGAAGAGTTCTGTCTGTTAATAAAAACATCTGTGTTCCACGTGGACTTTTAACCATTGCAGTGAAAGGCTGCTCCACCCCCAGGTGGGAACCCCGAGGCGCTGAGCTAGCGGTTGCCATTCTCAACAGGAAGGTTGTTTGTATGGTTTGGGATTTGAGATTCCTTTCTTTATTTCTTTTGCTCTTCCTCCTCCTCCTCCTCCTCCCCTTGGATACTATCTCTTCTGCTTTGGAGATTGAAGTCTTTAAAATGAAAGTGTAAGGATACTGCTTCCCTCCCAGGAGCTCCAGCTGGGGAGGGCCAGTAGCTGTCACTGAAACAATGAACTCTTGAAATAGACCCCATTGTCCTTCCCTTCCCCATCCCGAGTCCCATCTATTTTTCTTTATAACCCTGCCCTTCTGATACTCAACACTGAAAGGGTTTTTATAATTTTAAATTATTACTGCTGTTAAATAAATGGACGTTTCAGCTCAACAAGAGAGACCTTATGCATGATGTGAGGAAAACTACAGGGTAAGCTCTCTGGAGGCTGCTGTGCTGAGCTGTCCCATTTCACCCCAGGGCAGGCTGGGCTTGGCCGAGCCCTCCTGCGTGCTGAGCCCCAGCGCAGGCGTGCCGTGAGCTCTGGCCACCACACACACACCATGAGCTCCGGGACAAGGCTCCATCCCGACCAGCACCTGCGTGTGCTGCCAGCCTGTGGATGGCTGAGTGGTTGGCAGCAGGCTCTTGCCTGGTCTTTTGTATTTTTTACACCTTCTCCCCGTTGCAATCCTGCCCTTTTCTCAGCCTGAGCGGACTTTTCCTCCGTGTCAACATCAGGACTGGGTGTGCATCAGAACAAGGACCAGCCAAATACCATTGTGATCGAATAATATACAGGAAAAACAACATTTTGGAGAAAAATGTATTTCAAAACTACTTAAAATACAGATGATTAAAAAAAAAAAAAAAAGAACAGACAAATATCCAGGTGTGTTTGTGACTCAGTTGCTGTGACAGAGCTGGAGGTTGGAGAATGAAAAGAATGTGACCGGAGTGGGCAGTGACCGGACCTGCTTCCGTGCTCTGGGCCGGGAGGTGTCAGAGGGACAG